ACAGGCTACTACTGCCTGACCTCTATGTTTAATATAGTGACTGGCTTTGTCCTCTGATCCCCAGGCAAGTTTTATTGGGGGTACACAATATATCACCACAGAATGGAGCTAGGGTAAGAAGGCTGGGTTGGCCCTGGATTTGTAGTACTATAAGCTTTTGTGATTTACCTCATCACAATGATAATCTCGCTGCCCTCCCTTAGTTCCTCCTTGTCTTTCAGGGCCTATTGCTGCATTTGCTAACGGTGTTAGCGCTCCATTCTCATCCGCTTTCTCCAAGTGTTCATTGCACAAGTCCATGCTGAGTCCACACAGTGTCTGAGATCCCTGAGTTCAGGGCCTGACTTCACTGAGCCTTGACCTGGCAGGATACACAGATGCTTGAAAGCCTTCTGAACCTGAGCGTTGAGAGGCATGAAGGACCTCCCAGTTCAGAGAGTGGGGCTCTCTGCCAGGGGCCATGGCTCCACGCCACTCTGTTTGGCCTCATTGCTGGACTCTGCACCAAGTCCAGGCCAGCAGGGTAGGGAAGGAAGCCAGGGAGGCTGGCACAGGACTTCTCAAGCGAAACCCCCATGTGGGTGTGAACATGGCAGCAACTGAAGGCTTAACTTTGAAAACAGAGATGGTCAAGGATCAGCAACTGACATTGTCATGACAATCAGAGTGATTCCCCTTATTTCAGACACTGTCAGGAAACAGGGCACTTTCCCTGTGGGGGTTTTCTGGCTGGCTGACTTTTACCATTGATTTGAGAGATTTTTGGATCAAAATTACTCCTACAGGAATCACACATCTCCTTGTGTCCTCAGACAAAATGCCTGCTGACACTGTGTGCCTGAAGGGATATGTGTACATCCACCCAGCTGCCTCCATCCACAGATGGGATTTGACCTTTTCCCTATTATTTAGGTCAGTCCTGCTGTGATGCAAGTTGTGGGATGAGGCTGGAGCTCAGCAAAGTCTGAGAGTGCCCAGATAATATCAGGACTACCTGTACTTAGACGCCAGCCTCTGAGCTCTCCGATCTCTCCCGTGGAGGACCCACAAACCCTTGGTGTGGGAATTCAGGAAGGAAGGCCTGGGGCTTGTTGTTCCCTGACACACCACAGATTCACACAATCGACACCCTGTGAATGACTTAGTATTGTCTTTACCCCTTCTTATACCTCCACAACTCAAGTCCCCAGACAGGACAGCTGTCATGGAAAGAACAGTCTAAGCCAGACTGACTAGCCTGAGGCTGCTGGGATTGCTGTTCATCCCAGGATTCCATCCTGAGGAACGAGACAGGCATCCCCAAGATAGAGAACTAATACAACCGCGGAAAGACGAAAACACCACCCAAAAAAGAGCCCACGACCAGCGACAAGCGTGGTCACAGGCACAGGGAAATCTGAGATTGCTCTTCACATCCCGGAAAATATTTGTCTGTAGGTTCAAAGAAAAGTGTCTTGGTAATTTCTCATCCGGTATCTAAATATCAGCTGTAATGAGAACTCTTATCAGCTGAATTGTGTCTCCCCAAAATTCATATGTTGAAGTCCTGACACCAGTGTGACTGTATTTGGAGAAGTGATCTTTAGAGTCAAAACTAGTGGGGAATGAAGTCACTGGGGTGGGCCCTGGTCCAGTACAACGTGTTCTTGTAAGAAGAGAGTGAGACACAAGACACAGACTGTCACTGTGAAAGGATGACCTTGAGCAAGCCAGGAAGAGGGGCCCTATGACTCCTGCTCTTCATCTTCCTGCCTCCGGAACAAGGAGGAAGAAATTGACTCATCTGGGGCTGAAGAGGTGGCCTGGTGGTATAAGCACTTCCCATGCAAGTGTGAAGACTGGAGTTCAGATCCCCAGAATCCACTTTAAGTGCTGGGTAGGCATGGTGGCCTACCTATACTGCCTGCCTCAGAAGGCTAAGACAGAGGATTCCTACTGCACGCAGGCTAGCAAGACTAGCCGTATCATTGAGTTCTGGGTTTGACTGAGAGACCCTGCCTCAATTAATAAGATGGAAAAGCAACGGAGGATGATTCTTGACATCAACACCTAGCCTCCAATGCATACACACACACACACACACACACACACACACACACACACACACACACACACACACACACACAAAGAAAAGAAAAAAGAAACTAAATGACTTGATAATGGAATTTTGTGGTGCTGACCCCAGAAAACTGATGTAGGAATCAACAACATCATATAGAAAATTAGGTAAAAGGATGGAAGTTATGAAGACAGCCAGGTTATATGCTTTCTCTGCACTTCCTGTCTAGACCTTGAAGCAATCCATGGAGAAATTATATTTTCTAATTTAAAAGTTAACTGTCTTTCCTTTGAAAACTCTGAGAAACACTGTCAACAAGAGTTCTCTAGGATCCCAGTCAAACATGTAAAGGCCTCAAATATTTTAATTCTGAGAAAAGATAAGCAAGGGACTTCTGCTTCTGAATTTAGCTCCCAGATGAGGTCTGGGTAGGCGTTGTCATGTTAACTCCTAGGAAGCATTCCAAAACATCTATCAGGCCATACTCCTATGTACCACCTAAAATCCTGTCCGCAGGGTCTCACGGTCCTCAGAAAAAGATATAGGTGCACCATGACTTCTCTGGCGTCACAGCTTCTGTTTTCCCCTCACATGCTGACCCACAAGCTGCTCTAGTACTGCAGAGCCAGGGTCCAACAGGGTCCTTCCTGTCTCAAGGTCTCATACCAGCTGTTCTATTTGGGATCTTCTTGGTCTAGTTAACAACTCTCACCCCACAGACCAGAACTCTCTCCACCCTTCCTCAGCAAACCCTTGGCTGGCATCACCCACCCTAGGTCAAGTTCCCCGTTACCCTAAGAGTTTGTTTCCTAAGAGTTACTCATGTCAGATTCCCCCCCTGGGCTGTGGACTCCCTGAGAGCTGGGACCACAGTGGTATGTGCTCAGCCCAGGGCAAAACAGACAACAGGAGATAGTCTCTATCCATCTCTAGAAAGGACACAGTTATCTGATCAATATGGGGCCATAACCTATACAGATAATCCAAGGCTATCTCAAGGCCTCACTCTTGGGAATTCCAGCAGCTGCATATGGAATCTGCTAATTTGGACCTTACATGTCTCCTAAAGGCCTATGTGTTGAAGGCTGTTTCTTAGGAGTCTGCTATGGACCTTACATGTCTCCTAAAGGTCTATGTGTTGAAGGCTGTTTTTCATGGTGATGCTATTGAGAAGCTGTGGGATATTTAGGAGGTAAGGCCATGTGGGAGGTCTCAAGGTCATTGGGACTGGCCCTTGAAGGTGCTGGTAGGAACCTGGTCTCTTTCTCTTTCTACTTGGTCATGAACACAGCAGCTTTCTTCTCCCTCCTGCTCCCTGGGATGGCAGGCTGCCTCAACACAGCCCACTCACCTCCAAGTTATTACCTCATGTACACTATAGCGGTAGAAAGCTCATTGACACAGAGTCTGTGTGTAAGAAAAACTGCTGTTGCCATAGAAAAAGAAATGAAAGGAAAGAGAGTGGAGTGCTAGGGAATAATCCTCTTGTACACTGTAAAGATTTGTCACTTGAATTGGTTTAAGAAAATGTGGCTAGGCCAGTAGCCAGGCAGGAAGTATAGGTGGGGCAAATAAACTAAGAATGCTGGGAAGAAGAAGGGCGGGGTCAGGTGTTACCAGCCAGGTGCAGAGGAAGCAAGATGAGAATGCCATACTGAGAAAAGGTACCAAGCCACGTGGCTAAACATAGATAAGAATTATGGGTTAATTTAAAAGTAAGAGCTAGTTAATAATAAGCCTGAGCTACTGGCCAAGCATTTATAATTAATATTAAGCCTCTGAGTAGTTATTCAGGAACTGGCAGGCAGGAGAGGACTGTCTGACTACGGTGGAGTACTCATGCCTACTGAGTGCCAGTGCCACCCCAACCCCCTAGTTGATGCCTGCTGTCTATCTCATAAACTATTTCCACTAGTCGGCAGCAGTGCCTAAGAAGTAGGTAATGCTGCCTCCATTTTATAAGTTAGGAAAGGCTCAGAGAAATTAAGTAATTTGCCTGGTAATTAGAGCTGGGCAAGACCCACAATCAGCTTTCAGTCCCAGGTCTGCCTGAACCCAAAGCTTATACTTTCTCCATGGCCCACACTACCTAGCTTCTAGCTGCTAGCCATGGTCAGAGTCCTTGGAATCATGTCAGGGGGCCATGAGTCCACAGAAGCATCCAACATTACCTCTGTAAAAATTTTATTTTGTCCATGTCCAGATATAATTATTTCTAAATAAATTCAGACCCTGACATAACTACTATCATCCAGATCCCTCTAGGTAGGTCTGCTGGATTCCTGGGAGTCATAACAAGAGAATATCCAGCTATGAGGCTCAGGCCTTCCTTCCATTGGCTGTAGGAGCACTGTGGGTGATGGACTGTGGAATGGGATGGAGTAGGGGGTGCTCCTTTGCCATTTCTATAAAGGTGTGTTGAAGGAATCTCTACACAGAGCTGTTGTTATGCACCGATGATCTAGAAGGATATACTGGGCTTTCAGGAACTAGAACTTGATGTCTGTGTGAGAGAGATATCACCACATACCATTTGCAAAACTTGGATTTTGTATCACTTAAATAATTAACAAATCAAAACTTTCAAAGAAATTAAAATTGTAAATGGCAACATCGAGTGGACAAGGCTTAACCCAACAGTACAAAATGCTGAATTTCAGGTCAGGCACTCCGGGGCCTCTTGGATTTCTACTCAACAGGAGCCCTGCAATGATAATTGAGGAGGCTGGTAACTGAGCTGAGGACTTTCACACCCAGTCAGCAGAGGCAACCAGGCAAACCTGGTCTTTGCTATAAAACAGCTCTCAGGGCTTTCTAATGCCAGCGAAAGATCTAATTCCCAGGTTATGACGTTTACCTTGTGTTTCTTGTTCCCTTCGGTTCTGGGGTCTACCCACCCACCCCACCTCCACATGCCCACTCCTAGCCCAGGCACACTCACATGGACAGCACCTTCACCTCCAGGATCTCCTGCCTCAGCTCCAGGCATCTCGTGGAGTTAAATTCTAAAGGCCCCTTGTAAAATTCAAAGTACCTGAGAACCAACAGAGACAAAAATTATACAGAGAAACAGACCGGCTTTTCTAGAACCTGCCAAGGGTCCTTCTGAGAAAAGGAGCTCATCCTAGTCCAACAAATAAAGCAAACCAACCCACCCCATCACAGGACCCAGAAGGAGGATGGCTCTAGGTAGGAGCAACCATACTGTACTATAAGCATGTAGAGGAACAAAACCCACTTTAGCCAACATTGAAAGGCAGGCACAGGTTTCATTGCAAGGCTGTGCGGGATGTGACAGGGACAGGCTCTGTGTGCTCTGATCAGACAGAGCGGGAGATTGGCAGCACCCAGCAGCCCATCTGGCTGGCAAGCAGTGAGCTGTCCCATCCTTTCCTGCCCCTTTTGCCTTTCTCTCACTCTTAGGACAATGTCCCACAACACAACCCCGGGCATAGTTGAGATTGCCACAGATTTTTCCATTCACAAAGCATTTCCATTCCCATCTGCTCCCTTAGTGCTCATGCTCATACAGTGCTGTCTCTGAGACATGGCTGCTCTTGCCCCATCTGCTTACCAAAACAGCTGGTGTACCCACAGCCCTGGAGTAAACTGTCACCTTCCTGAGCCAAAGCCAGGTGATCCTTTCCTAACGGGCCTCTCCCACTCCCAAGGTGGTTCTGCAGCTGGAGCATATGGAACCAGGAGTGTGGGATCCCAAGACCGCCTTGGACATGAATCAAGAGGACTGTAGGGCCTGCACACTAACCGTGGGGTCAGTGGTCTCTTGACAAGTAACCCTCAAGAACCAAAAGTGGAAGAGGCACCTAGAGCCATCACAGAGCCAGACCCAAGTGCTGGGAATGTAGGAGCTTGTCTCAGCAGTGGTTACCACACAGGCACCCCATTGCCAAGCCAATGCTACAGACATGAGTGTGCTGATTTAAAAATCATAAAACATGGGCTGGAGAGTATAGTGCTTGCCTAACATGCTCAAGGCCACAAAAAATGTTCTGTACAATCAATTGTCTCCTATTTCCAAACTCAATTGGCTCTGTATCTTTATGTCACGAAAGAATTAGGCAGTGTTCCTAAGAACTGGGAATTGAGGATCTCCGTAATATCAAACTCACTCTCCCTCTGTTTCCCTCTTGCTTCTGAACTCCTTTCTCTGTCTCTCTCACTCAGCAAACTCAGGATCAGAACCTAGGTCAAAGGCCTAGACCTTTGGGAGCTCTCATGTGGTACTTACCCCTGGGCTCTACACTCTGTATCTTAATTAGAACAAATAATATCATATTATCATAATCTGCCTCTTGTCTATGGCCCTTCCAAATGAGGAGCATCTCAAATACAGGGATTATGTCCTTGTTATTTCTCTACCATCTGAACTACAGAAACAGGCATGCTAGAGACCCCATTTCCCAGACTCCTTTGAGGCTAAGGCCCTGGAAACAATTTAGGTCCAACCAATCAGAAACACATTCACGAGACCAATTCCAAACTGCTCCTTGAAAAGCATGAAAAGGAACCTGGGGCAGACAGAGGTGGCATGATTCTCAAAAAAACCTGGTCATGGCAATAGCTTGTATGATGGCATTTCACAATGCCATTGCTCAGTGTGATGGCTATTCTTGGTTGTCAACCTGACTACATCTGGAATTAACTAAAATCCAAGTGGCTGAGTATACCCGTGAGAGATTTTCTTAATCACATCATTTGAGGTGGGAAGATTCACTTTCAGTCTGGATCTTCTGAGGTGGGAATATCCACCTTTAATCTGGACCACACCTTCTGGTGTGTCTTAGTCACTGTTCTACTGCTGTGAGGAGACACTATGACCAAGGCAGCTCATAAAATACAGCGTTTAATTGGGAACTTGCTTACACTTTCAGAGGTTTAGTTCATTATCATCATGGTAGGGAGCATGCAAGCAGTTGCTGCAGCAGTAGCTGAGAGCTACATCCTGATCCATAGGCAGAGGGAGAGAGAGAGAGAGAGAGAGAGAGAGAGAGGGAGAGAGAGAGAGAGAGAGAGAGAGAGACTGAATCTGGGCTTGGCATGAGATTTTGAAACCTCAAAGCCCACCCCAGTGACACACTTCTTCCAACATGGCCATGCCTCCTAATTTTTTCCAATAGTGTCATTTCCTGGTGACAAAGCACTCAAATATATGAGCCTATGAGGGAACAACCACCACAAAAGCCCATGCCAAGCCCAGAGTCTGTCTCTGTCTCTCTCTGTCTCTGTCTCTCTCTCTACCTATGGATCAGGTTGTAGTTCTCAGCTACTGCTTCAGTGGCTGTCTGCACACCACCATGCTCCCCACCATGATTATAATGGACTAAATCCAATTAAATGCTTTCTTTTATAAGAGCTGCCCTGGTCATAGAGCCTCTTCAAAGCAATAGAACAGTGATTAAGACAGAAAGAAATTGGTACCAGGAGTGGGGTATTGCTGTGACAAGCCTGACCATGACGTTTGTCATAGGAATATGGAAGATTTGGATGACTGGAGCAGAAAAGCTATTGAGCACTTTAAGTGGGGTTTACCGGGCCATCCTAGTAGGAACATGGATGATAGTGGTGCTGAGAGTGATATAGATTATGATGGTTGGGCTCAAGAGGTTTCAGAAGATAATAGCCTAGAAACTGTTCTTGTGATATTTTGGAGAAGAATGTGGCTGCTTTCTGCCCGTGTTCAAAAATATCTGCCTGAGGTTAAATTGAAGAGTTTGGGATTAATGGAAGTGGCAAAGTAGATTTCAAGGTAGCCTAGTATTGATTGTGTTGTATAGTTATTGGTAATCACTCTTATGCAGGTCTATAATGAAAAGTAGCAAGCCAGCAAGAAGCACCCCTTCATGGCCTCTATGTCAGCTCCTTGCCTCCAGGTTCCAGCCATGCTTGAATTCCTGTCCTGACTTCCTTCAGTGATGAACTACAATGTGGAAGTAGAAACCAAATAAATCATTTCCTCCCCAATTTGCTTTTGGTCATGGTGTTCTCTCTCTCTCTCTCTCTCTCTCTCTCTCTCTCTCTCTCTCTCTCTCTCTCTCCATTTCTTTCTTTTGGTTTTGTTTGCTTTTTTTTTTTATGAAACAGGGTTTCTCTGTGTCCTGGAACTCACTCTGTAGACCAGGCTGGCCTTGAAATCAGAGATCTGCCTGCCTCTGCCTCCTGAGTGCTGGGACTTATGGCACCACCACCCAGCACTTGGTGTTTCATCATAACAATGGTAACCCTAACTAGGACCTGGTATGTGGATCTGCTAAAGGGTGTGGAAGAAAGAAGCTTTTCATCTCTGCCTGCTTGCCCTTACTCTCACAGGCAGTCCATTCCTTCACTAGCCTTAGAGCCTTCTTCTTCATGATTCTGATGTGTACTGAAGAGCAGCTAAGACATCCAGTCTCATGGGCTGAACAACCACTGGATTCTTGGACTGTTCATCGGTAGACAGTCATTGTTGGACTAGCTGGATCACAGCTTGTAAGCCACTCTAAGAAATCCCCTTTTATATTTTTTATATGTTCATTTTTCACTATACTCATTCTGTATTTCATTGTTCCATTAGATAACCCTGACTAATTCAGCCACTTACTCATTTTTCTCAAAGATTCTGAGCTGGGAGTGCCCTTAAGAAATCCCTTTCTCCTGTAAGTACCTGACAAGCGTTCTGTTATCTGCAACTAAGAACAAGGGGCCAGCTTGGGGCCACCAGACAAGCCCATGACCTTGGCTCTGACTCATGTAGTTTTCCAGTCACAGTGGAAAGTAAGGTCTGATATCTTGCAACAAGCAGTCCCGTTTGCAACCAGACCCTGCAGGTGTCAGCTAAGCATTGGAACCGAGGGTTGGGTGAAGTCACCATCCGAGACTGCTGCTCAGAAAAACTCCAGATACAAATGTTGTCAAGATAATTAAGTCTAGACCAGAAGTTCTCAACCTGTGGGTGATGACTCATTTGGGGGTCCGATATCGGATTATCAGATACCCTGCATATCAGATTATTTACATTATGATTCTTAACAGTAGCAAAATTACAGTTATGAAGTAGTAACAAAATAATTTTATGGTTGGGGGGTCACCACAGCATGAAGACCCCTATTAAAGGGTCGCAGCATTAGGAAGGTTGGAAACCACTGGCCTAGAGTCTTCAGGGAGCTGGAGACTTGCAGACACGACTCCTGTGTTTACAAGCCACTGGGAACCTTCCCCTTTCTGTCTCTTTTCTCTCCTAGTTTGAACTAAGACAGCATCTTACATCTGACCAGCCAGCCTCCCCTCTCCTCCGCCCAACCATCCTTCCTTTTCCACTCCAACCTTTATCTTTCTCCTGAATCTCCAAAAATCACTCATACAGGCAACCAAGCAATTCTAAATGATCTTGTGCCATGTGTCTAGGGGTTCTTAGGTTGAGAGGTTTTCAGAGCTGGGCTCACATCCCTTATTAGCCACTGCTATAATCTGAGTGCTTGTGGCCCTCCAGAATCCATACATTGAAATCCCAAACCCTGAGATGAAGGGATTAGGAGGCAATAGGATCAGATGAGTTGTTTTTTCCATCCTATATTTATAAGGTAGAGCTCTTGTAAAATTCCTTATAAAACAGAACTGAGAGGATACATTGTCCCCTCTACCATGAGGATATGGGGAGCAGGCATGTCTATGAACCAGGAAGCAGATCTTCCTTTGAAATTTGGACTCTCAGTCAAATCTCTAGAAATAAATTTCCATTGTTTATAAGCACCCCAGTCTCTGTATTCTCTTTCAGTAGCGTGAATGAAGCCATCTTAGCCATTTTAGCCTTGTCATTTCCAGCCTTAGCCTCCAGTCTATAAAGGCTGAATGCTACGTGAGCCACAACCATGACACTGTTGACATTTCCGGGAAGGCGTAACACACAGGATGTGGAAGAAGTGCTCGTCCCCACTGCCCTGCCATTGAAGGGCAAGTGCTGCCAGCAGATGCCACCGGGGGACCCAGGGAGGGTGACACTTGCTTCTCTCCGCTCAGCGGGTCGATAGCAGAGCTGAG